TTCATAAGTTAACGAAAACCAATGAAAAGTATAATATAGTCTGCCAGTAAAATATTTTTGACACTTGTAACTAAATTCAGAATCCTCCCTCCTCCCCCTCCCCTCCCCTTTTCCGGGGGGTTTGCTCTTCTTTTCCCCACTTCACAGTTTTTCTAAAACAACTACTTGGCGGGATATGTTGTTTACCTGAATCATCACACGTCTTCCCGTCAGGCTTTAAAACGCTTCCTATTGGGCATGCGCATTGGCTCCCTGCTGGTGATAGCAGACAGAGGTGGCTGCATCCACTATTGTTCTGGCAAGCGGAACTACCTATGGAAGAACCAGAGACATCTACTGTGACTGCAGAGATACAATCAACTAACATTCAGAGCTAGGCTTTAAGTGATACTCGGAAAAATACCCATAACAACAAAAACACTATGAGGATAATTGATATTTCTTGTCAAACGGCCAAGAATTCCCAATGACAGGTAGCCTTGGGATGGAAAATTGCATGTTTAACATAGCCATGTGCTCGTTTGCTTTATGATAAAATAATCTTGGTCGGAATTAACAGCGAACGCTGATACTCGCCCAAATCGTTCCACCAGCCATACTACTTATAATCACGCTAGGACAGCCCCCGTTAAGAAAAAACCTTCGCTCTCGAATCTAGTGGCTAACACCTGTGGGATCATTGTAGCGTTGAGAGACTATATGATAAGTGATTTGTCCCTTTTGATGCAATGCAAGTATATCGCAGGTTAGCCTCCAGCATGCAGTTTGTCAGATTTTCCTGATAGTTTGCCGATGTGGATTTGTACGTCTGGATGGAGAAAGGTACCGTAATAGTGGAGACAAATGACCCAGCCCGGTATTACACGTGAATCTGGAATCTTTGGAATCGGTGTTCAATGTGTTAGCCCTGCAATAACCGAGTCTTCAACCTGCCCATGTGAAACTAAAGTTCAAATATTTAACACAATTGTTTGGAAAAATTACTAGATTGTTTATTTATATATTTATTACCTTTAGGTTGTCGCAGGGAAGAGAACATACCAAGCCCCTGAAGATTACTGAAACCAAGACCCGCGTAGTTTCCAAGAGATCTCTTTGTGGACTTCTCGATCTTGTGGATTTTGTTGCCGCGCGCGTCAGATACGTAAAACACGCCGCTTAGCAATACAATATCATAAGGATAACGAGCAGACGAGAGGGACATAAATTGTTGTCGGGTGTTTCCATCGAAGTCAATGCTTTCCAGTTTCCTACTAAAAAATCCCCTTTCAAGATAATAAATACGGTTTGCTTGAAAATCGATGGTCATCCCATTTGGAACGTAAAAAAGTGAGGTCCCAAGATTGACCAAGGTTTTCCGATCTTCACCAGCCAAAGAAGCTCTCTCGATTTTCCTTTGAAGTCCCCCGGTTAACCAAAACATGTACCTGCAATACCAATGATAAAGGTAAAAGTGAAATGTAAGCGCCCTTCGAATAAGTAGTGAAATGAATTTTGAAGGCCACCACTGCAAGGAGCGGGAGGTCTCAAGGTTTGAGGCCTTGCAGATTCAAGAATAAGCTTCAGGAGCTATGACAGGAAGTGCCATACGCAAACATTACTTCACCTTTTGCGGAACGGGCAGGAGATTACAAACCCGTTGTCAGGATTTGACGTCAAAAACTCAAAAAGTGGTCCACTTGGCGCAGGTGAATCGCTTATCAGTTCTTACCGCACCAATTTCAAAATCAAAGCCCACGTTAACTTCCTTTTAGATTTTCTGTTGTTAGAATTGAATGGTGTTAGTTCCAAATCAAAAGCGGTTTATCATATAGAAAGCTGCTACATACCCCTTACGTGGATCAACAGCTATTCCAAGAGGATTTCTTATATCTTTACTGATCAAGATCCGTCTGTTCTTCCCGTCCAACTGGGCTACTTCAATCCGCCGATTAGTGTAATCAGTCCAATAAATTAGTCCACTCTCCCACTCCACCGCAATACCTTTGATCTGACCTATGTTGCTGTCTGTTGAGACGTTCTCTACTTTTCCGCTAGTAATGTTGAGCCTCTTTATGGCGTTTGGCCGACGCTCGCTCCAGTACACCAAATTCAGTCTCACATGCACGTCGACCGCATCAATAGAGTCGAGGTTTGATACAACTGAGTACAAGTTGGAGGAGCTGATATCTATCGCTTGGAGAGCGCGACTGTTGCTAAAGTAGAGACATGGTTGGGATTGGCATGAGGTCGATGTCACGCCTATCGGTGGGACAAAAATGAGAATAGAAGTCAGAAGAACATACCCAACAGTCGAGACCTTGGTCACTAGGGCCGTAATCGTTCGCAAGAGATCAGACCGCAGCTCTGTAAGTCGTAATAATAAGTTTGGTATGGAAAGGTGCTCCGAAACGTCAGAAAATCGGAACAGGGAAGAGGTGAAAATTTCGCTTCGCATAATGGAATAGCTTCATTCTCACCAGGAAATCTATTCTACTTCTTTTTAATGTTAATGTTGTCTCACTGGGTTTTCTTATTCCTCCTATATCCTGGTGGGATGCATTCTCAATATGTCATCGAATGACAGCTGATTTATTCTCTCCATTCGATCGATCCGTGACAGCGATATCCTTGCAGATCTCATCCCTTCATTACGCTGTGCTTGATAGCCAGTGTGACGATATTGCATTGTCTTAGCGTCCAATCAGATTTCAGTATTAACACGTGCGCGCCAACTTGTTTTGACTCTCTCTGGTTTTCCTCGTCATGGCCCCTTGTAAGTTGTTTGTGAGTTCACAATGTTCTAATTAAACGAGTTGAAGTTTGAGAACGTGAGCCAATTCTTTATAGCCAGTTGCAAATTTGTTTTGCCCAGTATCAGTCACACGGATTAATTGCTGAGGACTAGTTGCAGCATCCTTTTGTATCAACGGTGCAAATTGCACTGAGTGAAAGTGGGCGACAAAATTGTTCACATATTGACCTTTTCAACCCCCTAATACCTTTAATTTTATCTCTTTTGCCTGAGTAAACCTCATTTTCGACAGTCGAACGCGCCGTCTTGACACTTTCGTGATTGATTACAGTTCGTCATAGTATGCCACGATGATATTTCGAGGATCTGTCAAGTAGAGATCAGGAAGTGATCTGCAACTTTATTCTGTACGTGCGTTGAGTTTTTGTCGGTTCTTCACCAATCCAGCACATATCATGCAAAACCGCAATTTTATCACACAAACAAACCTACTATTTATCAAACTGAACGACTGAAACGAAAGCTTCTTGAGAGTGGAACTGCATCAACATTAAGCTACGCATGAAACAATTTTAGACGATGCAGTTCTGTAGATTGACAATGTGCCTTTCCTTGTCCTTAAAACATTGATGCGTGGGATGAAACGAGCCAAGAAAAATCTTGTTAAAATCTAGCCGTACAATGATCCCGCAATGATAGAATATTATACACTTTAGACAGTAAAGATAGAGCATACCTTTGTAATTGATAGTCAGCCACGCCAGCAATAGAAGAATACCTCTACGAAATGAGGCAAAAAAATTCGTTCGCATGTTCATGTCAAGATTCGGTCACGCCAACTCCAAAAGAATGCCCTGCAATAACATAGGAACTAAGAAAAACATTCATTTAAAGAGTATTTATGTGAAAAATGTCTAACGCTTCAGATTTTCGGTTTAAAATCTTAAACAGCATCATTAAATACCGACGAAAGGTAGTAAACACTCTGCTATAGAAGAGATCGACTTTGAACTGGTTTTCCCACGTTGCTTCGCTCGCACTTTCGTACAGTTAATTAGTTAACTTGATGTTGCCCAATTCTACAAATAGGTATGATGGTAAACTCTCCTTTCTTGATATATTTATCGACAACTCTTCGAATGATTGTGTTTTTTCAGTTTTTCATAAAAAAAACCCAACTGGTCTCCTAACAAATTTCTTCAGTTTTATTCCATCGTGCTACAAAATTGGCCTTATCCAAACTCTTATTGACCGTATCTACAAAATCAACAACACCTCTTCCGGTCTTCAAAACGATCTTAAGAAACTTTCCGACAATTTAAAACGTAATTCCTTTCCTTCGCATATTATTGAAAGAACTTTCAAGCGGTATCTTGACGGGTCCTCCTCTCAAAATAGCCGGAACATTGATGACAATAATACACGTTACTTTAAACTCCCTTTTGTCGGCTATTATTCTAAAACTCACTAACTCCGACAACTCACTAAGCGCTTTTGTATATCGGACCTAAGTATCAAACTAGTTTTCAATTCTTTCAAAATTAAAAACATGTTCAGTGTTAAAGATCGTACTCCTGATGCTCTAAAATCCATGGTAGTTTATCAATTTTCTTGCGCGGGATGTAATTCCCGTTATATTGGCGGAACTAGTCGCCACCTCTCTACTAGGATAAAGGAGCACACAGAAAGCGATAAAAACTCGCATATTTTTAAGCATTTTAACACATCTCCTTCTTGTAAGAACAAATACTCCCTTTCTTGCTGTAGTATTCTGGATTCTGCCAACAACTCTATTGATTTAAAACTCAAAGAAGCTTTTTATATAAATAAGATCAAACCTGAACTTAACAAACAATTACAGCATTATAACACTTTTCTAGCATTTTAGTTCACACCTTTAATTTCACGTTTGTTGTCACGCTGTAAATACTACCCGCTTTTGTATTACATCATACTGTAAATGTATTATTCATCTACTTGTCAGTAATATAATTACTCGCGTTCAGTTGATTGAAGATGGCATAAGCATACCGAAACATGTCTCTAAAAAAAGTTGTATATTTCTTACAATATCAGTTATCCTACTTGCTACTACTACGACCCTATGATAATAAGTATGAATTAAGAAATTCAGTCTTATATGTTTTTTTCTCGTGAATAATAATAATGATAATAATTATAATAGTAAGAAAAATTGATTACCTTTCGGATTTTACGTTCGTCGCTGTTGTTTGCTTTCTAAGTTGATATGTTCCAGAGACCGTAGCATTAAGCAAAGGAAGGTCGGCTCAGTGGTCGAAGTGGCGTAGTTCCTTGTAATCGAAAAAATAACTTTGCGTCGCTAAGCTGAATTACACGTCGAAACAGAAGGTCACAACTTGAGCAGGTTAGGATGAGATTTAAACCGGCGATAAAATCACCCTTGCGAGCTAATACGTTTTCATAATGGTCTGGGTATAACTGAGGCTATCAATATTCATTCGTGTTTCTTTTGTAGTGAAATTTACACCATACGTGATCTCGTGGTAGCAAAACGCTCATTCGTCTAAAAGGGAATCAGTTTTAAAGGAAGTAAATATTTTAAATGACACAAAGCAAAGAAGTCACGTCTCTCACTAAGAGTGGCTTTTACCACTTACTTATTCCGGCGAGAAGTTTTCAATTCTCTTCAATGTATGTCGTACACGTTTTTCAGTTAAAAATGCAAGCTCAGTCAGCGTGAAACCCAGATCGAGTTCGATGAAACTTTAAGCGATTTAGTCAATACACACGTTTGAGATCCGGATGTTGTCAAACTCAAAGCGGCATATGAAGCCGCATATAACTGTGGCTGTGAGCCCGGAATGTGGTAAGATACTTCGTGGGAACTATGAAGAAGCACGATTTCGAGCTATGGTCGGTTCATACGGAAAAGATTAAGTGTACCAACCTGAAGATAGCCCCTTTCGATAACAACCCTTGATACCTTTAAAGTTTTAGTTTGCATGTATGTTCGTTTGATGTTTTTGTTTTGACGTGACGTTAGATTTTACTCACTACGTGCTTCGAGTTAGCTATTTTCCTTATTTCCTAACCTACCAACAAAGACAAACCGACAAGATGGCTTGCGCAAAAGCTGATGCGCAGTTTCTCTAAACTGACCCGGAAAAAATTTCGCGGATATTGAGTAAAGCGGCATCAGAATTCGTGCCGATACTACACTGGATTTTATTTCCGCTTCTCTATAGAGTCTGGTTTTCAGCGATTGGTTGTCGAACATTAGTATTTCGGACTGTTTTGGAGGTAATGCTAGATATTTAGAAATGTACACACAGGATTTATTTAAACGCTTTACAGTTTTGAACGGTTCCCTTATCGGTAGTTCTCTACAGAGCTGAAAATTTAAACTAGAATATTTTAGTTCGTGATTATCAATCGGCAGGTGGCAAAAATTTTGTCACGTTCAAAGCTGCTCATCGAGTTCCTGTTTGTTTTATGTCACGACGAACTTATGAACCTTCCCGACTTTCAATGAAAAACCATCTTCCTTTCAAAGAATATCAGGATCTACGAAGAAAAAGCATTTTTAAAGATTTGACCTTCACTTTGCAATCCAAGAAATAAACTATAAGTTAAATTTCCTAAGAAAAGATTAGAGCTTTCCTCAATACGCTTGGTTGATTAATCAACTCGAATTGAAAGATAACCGCTTGCATTGGACTCCTATAAATACTGGGGACTCCTAAACTGTTGTCAGGATCGAACAGGAAAGACAATAGTTTCCCTCTTGAATATTCAACTCACGGCGTTATGTATGTTCGATTTACTGTCGTTTATGCTTGTATGAAAAAGATCCGAAATGTACATAGGCAACCGTGACTGAACGGTCACGCAATATTTTAGATGGTCGAAAAAGACGAGTCAGGTTTGTTTTCTAACTAATATGTATGCGGCGGAACAATTCTTTGTTAGTCATCTCCATAGCAATACTTCTTTTGTATTCAGTTGAGAAGCCTCGTTTTTATGCAAATTATTCGGATTCAAACGTTTATGGAAACAATACGAGAATGTTAGCGTGACGTAAGCTTGACTAAATTTTAAGATTGAGACAAAATGATCAGTTCACAGGTTTCTTGGTCGTAAATTGAGATTTTACTCTGGAGATAACGAACACAGAGGAAAATCATCCGCAACTTAAACGTGAAGGTAGGCAAGGATTAAGAAAAGAATGCTCCAGAAACGCTTTATTAAGCGGCAACTAACTTCTTCGTAGTCATAATAACATAGTTAAGTTGTTGATCTACTTTTCTTACTTTGTATACGTCACCTAGAAACCTGACGCCTGCATAATATACTTGAGACAGTTGATGGCACTGAACGGCTTTGTTTGCAGATTCATTTCTTTATGTTGGCATACAGCGCGTCATTATATGCCGTCTAATCAAGTTGAATTATTCTAATGGCGAAATACTTATTCAAAAGTGACTAAATGTAGATCAACGTTGCCATCGGATCAGCCCTCCAGGTATTACAGAAAAGACTGCTTTCCACGCAACGATTTAAGGAAGTATTTTAAATGCTACTGGCGCAGGAAAGTTGGTGTTATAAGGCAAACTTTGATTTATTGCGTTGACATATATGTAGTCATCTGTACAGTTTCGCACCAGTAATCACGCCACACCATATATGGGGGAAATTAGTGACATGACTTGTATGGGCGGCCGTCACCACCAAAAATACATGGATGCCAAATAGATCAGTAAATACAAAGATGGTTTAAGGATCAGCTGCAGGATAACATAGCTAATAAAGGAATGGCATGGCCAAATTATAGACAGTCTAGGTTTCCTTCATGAAATAGAACAGCCTAAACATAAATAGTTTAGCCAAATGATAAACGGTCTAGTTGCCCATGTCGAGTTGGAAC